GGGCGGGGGACGGGGGGGCACCTGCAAGCCAGCCTGCACCTGGAGGAGCACTCGCTGGAGCAGGTACAGAGCATGGTGGTGGGAGAAGTGCTGAAGGACATCGAGACGGCCTGCAAGCTCCTCAACATCACCTCAGGTGGGTGCCCCCACAGCCCTCCCCGGCGGGGGGCAGTGGGCAGGGTCGGGTCTGCCATGGGATGCAGCGAAGGAGGGATGTGCCGGTGCGGGAGCTAAAGCCGTGCTGCAACTGGGGTTTTGCAACCAGGTACTGGGGTTTGGGGGAGCGTGGCTGCTGCCTGGCTCCCCCGGGCATCGCTCCAGGGCAGGGCTGTTTGCTGACGCCCAGGGATGCCAGCAAAATGCCCCTCCAGCCTCTCTGGCTTGGAGTTAAGCTGAGGCAGGGGTTAGCAGAGCTTTGTGCAGAGCCCTGTGCTGGGTGTGGGGTGCCAGTGTGACCCAGCCGGTGTCACAGAGCCAGAGAGGTGCCGGAACGCAGCGAGGTGATGCTGAGCCCGTCCCCTCCCCTGAGCTGGGGGTCCCTTCCCCTCCCAGGACATCGTTACGGAGGTGCCTTCTGGCCTCGCACGCATCTCGGGGAGGGTGCGCGGTAGCAAGGAGCAAACAGCGCGACTTTTATTGTCCTTTTCTCTATCCCATTTTCCCTGGGATGTTAGGAACGGGCGGATGAGTGTGGGGTTGGGGACAGCTTGGAGCCAGCTGATGGTACCCGAGCTGGGCATGGGGCTCGGTGCGAGGGGAGCAGGACTAGCCCAGGACTGAGTTCCCTGGGGTATTGCTGCCACGGGACATCGCTGGGGTGTTCTCCTCGGGGCATCGCTGCCATGACGCAGGCAGCCTCGGGACGTGCTTGGGTTTGTGCAGGCTCTGCCACCCGCTCCCTCGAAGTGTTCGGTGTCATCCGGGGTGGTGCAGGGAGCAAGTGGGGCTGCAAAAGGCTGGATAAGGCTTCCCAATGCGAAGGAGGTGGCAAGGGGACAGTCTTGTCCCTGGGGACACAGGCAGGCTGGGAGCAGGATGCTCCCAGCCTGGTGGATGATGCTGCAGTGGGACAGGAGGGCCCGGGTTCCCGGGGCCACTGTGGGGTGAGCTGAGTTTGCCCAGGCTTTGCCCAGGCTGTCGCTGGCCATGCTCACCCTCTGCCTCCAGACCCCGCGGACTGGAGCCCCGGCAACGTGCAGAAGTGG